AGTTACAAAATATTATTACTTACCTATAAGGCCCTTAATGGGTTAGCTCCTGCGTACCTAACTAGTTTTCTACCGCGTACCTAACTAGTCTTCTACCACACTACAATCGATCACGCTCCCTAATGTCGCAAACCTCTGGACTTTTGGTAGTACCTAGGATAGCAAAGTCCACTAAAGGAGGTAGAGCTTTTTCGCATTTGGCTCCTAAACTCTGGAATAGCCTTCCTGATAACGTTCGGGGTTCAGACACACTCTCTCTGTTTAAATCTAGATTACAAGACACATCTCTTTAACCAAGCATTCACATAATGTCTCATCTCATAATCTCATAACCTTGTTATATCTGATCAAATGCACATTATAATTTTTTGCTTCATTTGAACACAATTTTTTCTCTATTTGCTTCTCTGTTTCTGCCACGGGATTGGCACCCCGAGGTAACTAGGATTTACACAAGCTTCAGTCTGGATCCAACCCTTATGAAGATCTAAGATGACCGAACACCTGAGAAGAGATGATGCCAACCCCTCCGAGGACCTCAGATGACGACAACCCTGAACCAACATACAAAACTACCAAATTTTGCTATAAGTTTGATTGCAACATACAGTATCTCACAGAAGTGAGTACACCCCTCACATTTTTGTAAATATTTACAAAAAACATTTTGTAAGACATTTTCACTTAGGGGTGTACTCACTTTTGTGGCCAGCGGTTTAGACATTAATGGCTGTGTGTTGAGTTATTTTGAGGGGACAGCAAATTTACACTGTTATACAAGCTGTACACTCACTACTTTACATTGTAGCAAAGTGGCATTTCTTCAGTGTTGTCACATGAAAAGATATAAAATATTTACAAAAATGTGAGGGGTGTACTCACTTCTGTGAGATACTGTATGATCATTGCTGTTAACAGTGTTCACGTTTGTTTGAATACATTTGAATGCATGATTTTTTTACTGTACATTTCTGCCATATGAACATCACCTTGACATAGTCACCACTGATAAGCTACTCCTGAATATAACGTATAAACTTTAATTTTCTGTGAAGCTGCTTTGCAACGACTTGTATGGTGAAAAGCGCTATACAAATAAATGTGAAATGAAACGAATGGACTTTTCCAGACCTGGAAAACACCAAATGTCTTACCTCCAGGTTTTTCCTGTCAATTATTTGAAAGGCTTAAATATGCAACCGTTCTATAACCATTAACCACTGAGCAACACAGCCCATTATAATAAATAATAAAGGTATAGAAAGCACCATTCATTTTAAATGTTTAAGAGTAGAGTAAATAGTCAAATCATGTGTGAGTAACACTGAGTAGGCTGCATGTGTGGATCCAGGCTTCGGCTTGAGCTGATTTTCAGGAAAGTTTGCAGTCCTCGCCCTCCATCCGTGCCTCTGAAGTTCTTCCCACACTCCCTGTTTACTTGCAAACACTGTAATGCATTTTACTTTGAGATATGAGCGTTATATCAGCCGACATGTCCTCTTGGAAGGAGTTCTGAACCTTTGAACCGAAAAAGTTGCAACAATTGTAACAAACAAGCCGTCGTGACGTAACAAACACAAACGCGAATCCACAAACAAACATCTCCATCGGACCGATCGGGAATACCGACGGTCTCTTCCCTGTTCTTTCCTATCTTTCTTTCTTTCTCCAGAAAAAGCGCCATGTTGAGAGCAGCAGTGGAGTTGACACGCAGCTTTTCTCCAAAAACACTCGACTTACCTTGGCTATGGCTTTTTTATATCTCATTGTCGCTTGCTGGATGAGACTGTGTATTGTGATATTCCCATCCCCACAGGGAACGACCACCCGGGTCCTTCCAAAACACACTGTCACTTTCATATTCGCCCGATATTCCCAGAGACTCCGCAGGGAAGCGCGTGAAGTGTTGAACTCTTCAGGAAAAATCAGTAAGCCACGGCAACATTGTATCCGTGCATGTCAAAAGCGGGATAAATCCTCATGTTGTGCTCCTCAGGTGGGACTGGACCACCTGTTCGGCGTGTGTGCTCGTCTCGCCGTGCGTCGCGGGTGAAGTGGCCGTGGGTTGGGCTTCCCACACTGACTCACTGCCGTTTCAACGCGTTCCTCGTGTAGTCCGCCAGGGACGACTGTCTGTTTCAGGTTATAGACTCGTTCAATGCTGCTAGTACTCTTCTAATTAGGCTATATTCAATTATATACCACTACATTTTCAAGATGTTCCTAGGCTACTACATATTTTGAGCTACAGAAAACTCTGAATGTATCTAAAAATGTCTGAATGTATAACTCTGAACTTCCATTATGAACCTTGAATATCTATGGAAAGTTTCCATTGCACTAAAGGTTATTTATAGTAGGAAAATATCTCTTTAGATTTTTAAGTGTTCTTTAAAGTACAAAAAAAATTGTTCTTTTACAAACTGTTCAAACTGAAACGTTCTTTAGGGAACCAAAAATGGTTCTACTACGGCGTTACTGCACCTTTTACACCTTTTTAGAACCTTGTTTTTAAGAGTGTATGTGCTTTACTCCAATGGTTAGTGGTTGGCGAAAATGGGACGTCAGGTAAAAAAAACACATTACTTTGTCATTGTGTTTGACTTCATCAGTGGACAAAGCTTCAGCATCTAGAACATGGAAGATCCACATAAATGAGGTGGATCCCTATCTCTATAAAGAAAACTGTATTAAAAATAAAGGCTCCAAAAGGGCATTTTCACAGTAATGTCAAAGAAGAACCATTTTGAGTTGCCCCCAAAAAGAACCTTTCACAGTGAACAGTTCTTGAGCATTTTAATAATCTTAAGATCCTTAAAGAAGCTCCTGTGCAATGGAAAGATTCCATGGATGGTACACTCTAAAAAATGCTGGGTTAAATATAACCCAGTGCTGGGTTAAAAAGAAGGTTCTTTGTGGAACCATAGATGCCAATAAAGAACCTTAATTTTTAAGAGTTGCCTACAAATCTTTAATTATGGCTGTTTATGATGATGTATGGTCAATTAATAATTTAAAAACACTTTATTTATAAGGGTCTGTTTTATCTAATTTAAGCTTATCATGTAGCCTGGACATTTCCTGTCTGATTGTAGATGAGATTACGGATGGCAGCCTATCAGTTACCCATCTGATATTTCTAGCTTGACCATGCCAGACATGCCTAGATGATGGAGACGATGGACTTCAGTTGGTGGTAGATCTTGATCATACTGGTTAGAGCTGAACTACCTTGAGCAAATCATGACCCAAACAACAGCTCAAGTTTGTAAGACATTGTTTTTCCAAAAGAGACTAAATAACTTCTGCCACTTTGCAGAAGTAAGCAGATATTTGCTATAAACATAGTAGAACTTTGTTAGTTTTTCATTGTTACGAAACCTTTAAAATGAGGCATGAATCTTTGTTTGTTTCTTTCCTTTCCGGTGAAGACACTGGACAGAGTTGCAGCACTTGTTTATAAGACAGATATAATGACTTTTATACTAGTTCAAACGTTTTTTGAGAGCCTGTGTGGTCAAGTTGGTTGGCTGTTAATGTTTTTAGCAGTGTCAAAAAAAACCAAAAAAAAACATATGAAATACATTAACTTCAAAAATAAGTTCAATTTTTCTGATGCTGTTAATCATGCGAGCAAGAGAAAGGGGGAAATACGGAGAGAAGGTGTGTTTAAATTGTTATTTGTTTACAGTCTCAAGTTAAGTAGAAGGACAGCAAATGACATAAAACAAATGTGGTAGTTGTTTTCATGGAGACAAACATCTGACTATTCTGCTGGATTGTGTCTGTCTAGCCACATTACGAAGCATCAAAACCATGTTTCTAGATGTATGTTCAATGTTCAGACATAGAGATTTCACTGCATTTAAATAGAATCATTATTTTAAAAAACTCCTTTCTTATTATTTCTGCTTTTTTTATTATGCATAACGCCCCCTTGTGGTAGAAAAAGATGCTTTGACTTGAAGCATGTGCTTTTCACTCTTAATGATTTATTTATTACTCTCTATAGTATGGTGACCGAGAAGTGCAAAGCAAATCACAATTCTGAAAACAAAATAACAAATTACAAACGCAAATGCAATGTAAATAGCATATTGCTAAAAATACTGCTATTTTCACTTAGTGTAAATAGAATCCATTGCTAATACGAGATTTGAAAAGGGAGGAAAAAAAGTTCGGCAAAAGGCGGGATCGAACCCGGGTCGATCGTGTCAAAAAGCCAACGACATGCGCTTATCCATCTGCGCCACTGGAGCTGATATTTTATAGTTACTTTTAACTGAATTTAAATAGACACTCCGTATTTTTTATTCCATAGTAAGGGCAATTCATACAATACATTTAAACTGAGCTACTTTAATACCATCTCTGAACTTTCTACCACGACTCTGCTGTTCTTCGGCTGGTTCTTCCCTGTATACGTTGATTGACAGATGTCTCGTCCAGTCAGCGGTGAGTAATCCCAAACCAATGGCGCTGTCTCAAACTATACCTACCTCTTCCGGTTTGTCTGATTTGTCGTTGTGTTTTCTGACTTGTTAATTTGTTTTCGAATTTGTCATTGTGTTTTCTGACTTGTTATAATGTTTTCTGAATTGTTGTTGTGCTTTCTGAATTGTTATTTTGTTTTTTAGACTTGCATTTGCGTTTGTAATTTGTTATTTTGTTTTCAGAATTGTGATTTGTTTAGCACTTCTCGGCCACCGTACTATAGCATCCAGTGACTTGACATCTGTGAATCTGCAAAATGTCAGGCTTACGTAAGATGATGTATATTGTACAGACATGTTTTGCTGATGACACACACATATTGCAGACATGTTGATTTGGTCAGGAACCTCCACGTGGGCCTCATTAGGAGCGAATCCTGAGCTAGAAGGAGCTGAGAGTGAATAGGCTTCTGCTGAGTGAGATTCGCTTATGAAGAATCCCAATATAGCACAACCCACAGAAAACCTGCAGTCCTTGGTGCACATGACAGGCTGTAAACAAACTACACCATGGTCACATGACTTTGTCACCACCGTGAAGCTTCAGACAACTTTTAAGTATTTTCACTGAAAGTTTGAGTTATAATAGTTTGCGAGACTGCGATTGTAAACGCAACGAGGCTGTGTAACTAGTGAGTAAATGAGTTCACATGATGATGTTTAATGACAACTTCTGTAGTCCTCTTAGCAGCTGCCTTTCACAAGAGGATATTACTGATGTATTTTATGTTGTAGAATAAAACGTGAAAATATCATGAGCCCGTGTTCACCTCAGACCTGTTTAACCAAAAACCCATTGACTTCAGGATGATGGAATCTGAAGTGTTAAAATGCTAACGTGTTTCCACTTTATGCCCTACAAAGTTATGTCATCCTTGCAGCACTCTACTTATGCCAGCAGTGTTGGGGGTAACGCATTACAAGTAACGCGAGTTATGTAATCAGATTACTTTTTTCAAGTAACTAGTAAAGTAACGCATTACTTTTTAATTTACAAGAGAATATGTGAGTTACTTTTTCAAATAAGTAACGTAAGTTACTTTTTTTTCCCAATTTATTGATTGACAGCTCTCCTGTCCACATGTTGAGAGAAATCAGAAGATGTTACTGTAGTTCTAAAATAAATATGAATATGCATTAATTCATCTCTAATTAGTTACTTTTTTATGGAGTAACGCAATATTGTAATACATTACTTTTAAAAGTAACTTTCCCCAACACTGCTTATGACACCTTACACACATTTGTGACATTTGTGTAATGCTTCATCCACACAGATAGGTGTCAGTATAACATTCATCAAAACCATATAACAGACCATTATTGCATAAAGGGGGTCACGTCCTGGGTCCAAAACCATATAGAGCAGTATGTCTGAAGAGTAGTATGAGTAGTAGTATGAGATTTGCATTTTCAAAACACAATTATTTTTTTTTAAATGTACATTAAGCGTGTTTTTCCTTTTGTTTTTATTCAATTAATGAAGGTGCTGTAAACTGAATCGTTATAAATCGTAATTGTAACATCTTATTTTATACATACAACATAGCTACTTTAATTGAATATATATATATATATATATATATATATATAAAAAACAATTCTAACAAATTTACCGTAAATACAGACGCCGCATCTGTTGCATCCATCATATTTTCTCAGTGACATGCTTCCAACTCGGAAACTGGCTCAAAGAAAATCCAGGGATTCTCACTTATATTTATGACTCATAAACAGTGCTGGGTAGTACCTGATTACATGTAATGGATTATGTAATCATATATGTAGTATTTGTAATTAGATTACATTTTAAAATGCTCATAATCAGATTACATTTACTTTTTGTGGATTACATGATTACAGATTATTCATATTGGTAACACTTTGCAACAAGGTTCACTGGTTAACATTAGTTAACTACTTTAGTTAACGTGAACTAAGAATGAACAATACTTTTACGGCATTTATTAATCGTAGTTAATTTTAACATTTACTAATACATTATTAAAATCAAAAGCTGTGCTTGTTAACATTAGTTAATGCACTGTGAATTAACATGAATGACTGTAATTTCATTAACTAACATTAACAAAGATTAAATAAATACTGTAATAAATCTATTGCTCGTTGTTTGTTCATGTTAGTTAATACATGAACTAATGGAACCTTATTGTAAAGTGTTACCTTCAAATTTGATTAATTCTCCATAATTATTTTTTTATCTTTTAAATGTTCCTTTCTAAAAACAAAAATCTGTATATGTGTGTCATATCATTTAGCGTTGTATATTCACAGTATAGAATGGCCATGTAAATTCATTTGTGAGCCATGCTTCTGAATTTGGGGACAAAAGCACCTCTCAGTCAATTATACAATGCATGAGACGAATAATTAAGAAGGTTTCTAAACACTTCCAATGTATAGCTAACAAAAATATTTAAAACCTGGAAGACTTTGACCATGTCTTTGCTGTTTTCACCTTCATTAATGTTTCATGTGATGCAGGGATTCCCAGACTTGTCAGTCAAACCCCTTTGCCCTAAAATATTTACCTGAAGCCCCCATGAGAATTAAAGTTAATATTTCAATAATTTAACAACACATTCACATGTTCTCCGAAGTTGGTTAATGGTCACATTGACATGCAGGTAACCAAATAAAATAGTTTTTAATTTACCCCAGTTTGGGAAACCCTGGAGTAACGCAATGCTTTTCATGATAAAGAGTTGAATATATTTTATTTTTCTTTGTTTTGTTTTTTGTTTTTGTTTAAAAAAAACAATAATGCCATTTAAATCTATAAACAAGTTAGGTCAAAAGTAATCTAAAAGTAATCCAGAATACATTACCAAACATGAGTAATCTACAGTAATTACATTACTGACTTCAATTTTCATTATGTAATTTGTAATCAGTAACAGACTACAATTTGTAAGTAATATACCCAGTACTGCTCATAAACATCATCTTTCCAACACAACATTAGAAAAATGCTAAAAAATAAATAAATAAATTGGTTCACCTTTAATAGTTACTGATGATGAAGTCACTCTTAAAACATTTACGAAAAAGTGTTTTTTATTTGTTTATTTGACAAGCAGCAAAATCATGTTTGTCACCTCATATTTGTTTTTTTATATCTTGAAAGTAAATGCAATTATCAGTATACCGGTTTTATTACAATAGTTCTTTGACTTTGATACATTAAAAAAAGAAAACACACAACAACTGCAACGGGAGAAAAGAAAGCGTGGTTGTTTTTTCGGCCGTTTCTCAAACACTTCACCTGTTTTGCTCTATGTGATGCATTTCATTCGCTCGCTTTCTCTTGCACGATTACGTCTAAAAATGTATTACCTTTTACGCTCGAGTAGCTATAGGCATTTTCTTTTTTCATAGACGCCCTGGGCGTGGCACTGGTGATGTAAACAGCATAAAATCAGAAGGGGGCGGGATGGGGGTGCTTTTAATGACTGTCCAGCTACTCGGAGGCCCTTTTTTAACACAGATGGAGGCGCAGAGTCCCGATTCGATCCAATGGTTGAGTGCCGGAGCCAGCCAGAGCCGAAAATAAAAGACATGTTTACTGTTCACGCTTTACGGCGTTTTTTGATTTTCTTTCATTAAATTAATGTTTTCATGCGACATAGCTGTATTCGTCCGCAGAGCTCTGGCTTCGCTCGATGTACTGCTTGTCGATAAGAACCTCAATGCACTTCTTGATCATGCTGATACTCGGGTTGAATCTCGCTTTGGATTGGTTGATTACCTGAAAGAATAAGCACACACAAACAAAATTAGGTTGCTTATATTTGGGAAAACACACACTCGTATTGCTGTTACCATTGCTGCAGTATATAGTATTGCACTATATATCATTCTGCAGTATATAGTATTTCTGCAGTATATAGTATTAGAAGACGGGATTTTGCATTTTACAAAATATTCAAATAGAAAATAATTAATACAAATTGCATTAAGATTTCACAATATCACTGTTTTATTGTATTTTTGATCAGATAATGCAGACTTGGTGAGCAGAAGAGACTGCATTAAAAACATTTAAATACCCTGTTTCCATGACAATTACTATACAGTATGACAATTTCTGTATTACTACATTTACTGAAATACAGTTCCACTCCTGGATGCTGATTGGTCAATACAGTGATTAATGATTTTATATATATATATATATATAAGAGAGAGAGAGAGAGAGAGAGAGAGAGCAAAGACCCATTTACACTGTGAAAAAAGTGATTAATTGCATGATTAGAAATGGTAATAATGTCGCATTCTGTAAATGTTAACATATTTTTAAATTATTTAAATTTGAGTTAATATTTATTTATTATTTATTTATTTTTTACTATTTTCTCTTGACTTCTCCACAGACCCCAAGAACCCATCTCAGGAATTTTTTTTTTTTTTAAATAAGTAGCATAGTTATATTTATAGCATATACAGTTTGCAGTACATTAACGCTCTGTTCATAACCTTACATTCAGATATATGTTCTGTGCTTTCAGTGTCTGATTGTAAACTTGATAATAATCTCTGGTTACATGGACGTTCTTGAGAATGGTCAAACACTGTCTTGTCACGACTGACCCAGAAACTAAGGATTTTACTTTTTCAGTAAAGCTTGTGAACAGATTAAAGTTGCAGACTTTGTAATCCATATTTCCACAGTAAAATCAGCCATCCTGCAAGATATAAAAAAGCAAGGCAAACCTGCCTTGACTGCATTACTGTGTTCTTGATTTGCCATACATATATATATATATATTACTAGGAATAAATAAATGCTGGATGACAGGATAAATTGTTATTTAATAAATCAACAAATAAACAACAAAAAAAAGGTTGAGCGCTGCCATTGTTATGAGCTGTTTTCTGGCTGAAGATGTGTTTGAGTGTGATGCTGTTTGATCCAAAGCAATGAGAAGCACATGCACTAACACAGAAATCTAAACACTGGACCGCTGCAGGAAGAGCAGGAGCGCCAGCAGAAATTCACAGCCCATAATCAAATCTATTTCATAATTCACACCTGCGTCTGTCCTTTCATTTACGGTAAACAGTGTGTGTGTGAGTGAGTGAGTGAGTGAGTGAGTGAGTGAGTGAGAGAGTGAGTGAGTGAGTGAGTGAGAGAGTGAGTGAGTGAGTGAGTGAGTGAGTGAGTGAGTGAGAGCGAGAGAGAGAGAGAGAGAGAGAGAGTGTGTGTGTGCGCGTGTGAGAGTGTGTGTGTGTGTGAGTGAGTGAGTGAGTGAGTGAGTGTCAGAGTGTGTGTGTGTGTGAGTGAGTGAGTGTGTGTGTGTGTGTGTGTGTGTGTGTGTGTGTGTGTGCAGTAAAAACAGTCTACATCACAGTTTTCTTGTGTAACAGCCGTCTGGTCCTCAGACGTGTTCTGACAGCAGTCTATGTCAAAGTCTCTCATTCCTGACATATGTGCTCTTATCTGCACGGGCTAGGATTTGTTTCCTGGTGTTCTGCACATATGATTATTTGTGCACAGAGTCTGATCTCTGTGTCAGGTACCACACGCATTCCTGTACACTGCACACCCTGAGCACTCGCTTCAGTGTCTGAAGCATCAAATTAAGATTATAAACAGAAAGGTTGAAGTATTAGCAGACGAGAATCTGCCGTCTCACCTCCTGTATCAGGGCGTTGTGTCTCAAGACTTTCCTGGCTTTCATAATCCTCACTATAGCAGCCTGTAAATACATTTTCCTGTCTTCATCCACGGCACTCCTCGTCTGTTCCAGCTCCTGACGCACACAAAGGGCATCACAGTGTTTATATGACTAGATATATAATGGCATTTGCTATGGAAAGCCGTTGTGACATTTAATCTATAAGCCGTACTAGTACCTATTTTTTAGATACTAGTGTCTTTTCCATTAAGTATTGCTCAGCGTGAGACTCTGTACCTGCGGCATGTCCTTCTGCATCGATGTTGTGATCTTGAACTTTGTTCTTTTACTGGTGAAACTCATAATTAAGGAAAACGTGGATTCGGCTTCGATCTCCTCCTGGAGGCAAAAAGAACCCGGGAGTCTAGTTATGATAAATCAATTAAACATCAAACAAACAATTAAAAATGAACAAAAATGACTGGTTGCATGAGCCACGAATGAACTGATCTCAAACTTACTTTCTGCAAGTCGTGACTGATCATCTTGACGTCCAGCAGGGATTTAATGGTCTTCTGGAGCTCCTTCTCGTTCATCTGCGTGCTGTCCTGCAGTTCTTTGTAGCTCACAGTCTCGCTGTTGTTGAACGCCAGCAGAACGGCCATCTGATAGGTGGTCACCACCGCCACATAGGGCTTGGACAGATAATTCATCTTTACCTCGCCTGACACAAACAAGAACCAGTGTTGTTAAAAAAATAACTTTTTGTTAACTTAAATACAAATAAAATATTTGATAAAAAGAAATTAGATGCTGCTTCAACCCTTTCTCTGGCCATTATAATAAAACATGCTGTTTTCGCAACTGCCTCTACGGCCATCTGATAGGTGGTCACCACCGCCACATAGGGCTTGCACAGATAATTCATCTTTACCTCGCCTGACACAAACAAGAACCAGTGTTGATAAAAAAAATAACTTAAATACAATATCAAATATTAGATATGTTGTCTCCACCTTTTATCTGACCATTATAATAAAATAGGCTGTTTTTGCAACTGCACCTTGAAGTCTTTAATATGCAAAGGACTTCTGCTATGATTGGCTAATCATTTTGCATGTAAAATTAGTACCAAATTCAAACGGCGCATCATATGACCCCTTTAATGCATTAACTAATGTTAACAAATCAGACCTTATTGTAAAGTGCTCCCAAATAAAACTTATTAAAAAATATTAATAAATAAACACTAACAGCATATACACTGGAGAGAGTTTGCAGAGCTTTGAAGATGCTTAAATATAAGATTAAGTTCTGATTTAACTGGTTTGTTCACCACATATATTCCATATTTCAATTTGCTATTTCATAAACTTCATGAATTTATTATTACTCTGGACAATAGTAAATATAAATGTCGGTGTGTTCAAACATTTGGGTGATATAGTGTATGTGATGGTTAGCGTTCTGCTAAAATCGTCTCCACTTTGAAGCTTCTGTCAGTTGTCTGTGTCTGCACACTGTAAGTGTGACTGTATTTTGCTTGTCCTGCTGAGTTGTCGGATTACTCAGGATATTTTGTCACAGCTCAGTGTGATAATCCGACTCTTGCTGCTGAACCATGGCAAGGATTTGCTGTGGTTTTGTAGAAATACCAGATGCCGCTAATCAGACTTCCACAGCACCAGCCAACAAATATTATCTCACGCATATCAGATTCATTTCTACACCATCAACCTCTGCGCCAAAATCAGGAATGCAGATGGTGTAGGTGTAGTAAACGGAAATTAAATTAAGTGCAATATGCAAGTTCAATATACTAGATCTGTCAATTCAATATGTATTTATTTTAAATAAATTTAAAAAAAAAATTTTTTTAAATTACATAAATTAGGGATGCACCGAAATGAAAATTCTGGGCCGAAACAGAAACTGATAATGCTTTGCAATAATTATTTATTATTTTATTAAATAATATAAAGTAATTTTGTAAGACTTTTAAATTTAACTGAATTTAAAAAACACAAGCCAATAAAATAATCACACTTTTATTGAAAGTAACAATGAAATTGGGCAAAAAAAATGATATTATATAATTTTTATATTGTATAAATTATATTATTTTTATTCAGTTCTATTCAAAACTGCTGGGCGATGCGGCGCATCGAATATTTTCGGCCGTTTTTCTATTTCGGTGCATCCCTAATTTAAATATTAATATAATTATTTAACTAATTGGGAGGCTTTCTCAGGTAATACTGATATATGTGATTAATTACAATTAATTAGTGTTTTAATCAGCATATCCTGTAATCAGGGGTTAAAGCAAAAAAAAATCCTGAGCCTGAACTTTTTTCCGGGAGCGGGGCAGCACATGCAAATCATGCAATGACTGTGGCAACTTTAACATTTGAAAAGATACTATGGCAAAGTTATTGCCCCAGTGTTTTTCTGCAACCACTATGTGACGTCTACTCTGAATTGGTCTATACATCATATGAACATAACCAATTTAAGTACATTATGTATTAAAAAACAAATACCTGCAGAGGGCGCCAACGGCCTGGTGACGCTTCACTTTACAGCGTGATTAAACGATGTTTAAATCCATTTAATTTTAATATTTGGCCACATGCAGAAACTTTTATTTTCAAATCGCAATGTACAATACATGGCATATTTAGACATAGGTTGATATATTCTCCTGTGTGTTACAAATCTAGTGAGATAATGCACACTGTTTTTCCAGATGAAAGTTAAGCAATTCAAATTCACGGCATATGCAGAGGAAGAGTTTAGGCCCTTTCACACATACAGTACTGGTAAACTACCGGTAAGTTACCATTAATAGATCATGTGTGAACAGGACCTTTTCAAAAATCCCAGTAAATTTGTTCTGGCAATCATATCGTTTTATGGAGATGACATGATTACTCTGAGCTGTTTACAAAGCTCCGCGCCTCGCAGCTTTTTGTCGCGCTTCTCCATTCATCAGGACTGCGACTCTGCAGTTGGATACTATTGCCCGTCTCGTGTTTATAAGAGCAAAACATTCTGATTGGCTAGTAATGTTAGTTTGGTTGAGAGTGAAAGTCGTGCTCATCTCATACCATTGGTTGGCGAACTCATGGACTCGAAAGTGATATCAATCAAGATTTTTTTTTTAATGTAGGACTATTTTTTCCCGCATCCAAACGCTGCACGCCGGAGATCCGGCACAGTGCCGGAGAACTTTAAGCCCAGTGTAATTAATTTGATAAAAAAAAATATTAACATCCCTAATATTTACATATATCAGCTTGCCAGCATTGTGGGAATTTGTGCATCAAATAATACAATATTGGTATTTTCAATCAATGCTGATTAATCCTGATAGGCAGTTTGAGAATCAGAAAAGGTGGTGATCAGAAGTTATTAAAAAATGCAAAAGTTTGGGGTCAGTAATATACATTTTTTAAGAAGTTAATACTTTTATTGAGCTATGCCATCACAGGAATACATTTTAAAATATATTAAAATAGAAAGCAGTTACTTTAAATTGTAATAATATTTTAATTGTAATATATATACATATGTCAAAATAAATGCAGAAAAAATGCAACAAAAAAAAAAACCTTACCAACGCCAAACTTTTGAAATGTAGTGTATGTCTCTATATGACCGACTTTACCTGTGCAGAGATAATGTAGCCAGGTCAGCTTCCTTCCGCTGAAGTGCTGGTTATAAAACAACTCAAACTGCAGAAAGAAGACATCGGTTAAATCAGCGTCACCTACTTTCATAATGAAATGAAGGGGGATTTGACATGTTCAGCTCTCAGTACATGAAGGAAGCTTTGCTCTTGCCCCTAATCATGACAGATCGTGTTTTGGAGCTTGTTGACAGGGCAGCTTACCATTTGTACACTTTTCTCCAGCTCCTGCGGGATGGCAAACGTGGAAGAGGGGACATGTGTGAGGGGCCATGCGCCTGCCTGAAACACATACGAGCGCATGTCAGCTCACACAACCAGCGCATGATCAACACATGGAAAATAGACATATTTTACATTACTATAGCTTCCCCACTTATGGTACAGTCATAATGTATTGTTTTATGATCATTTTTCACCTTTTTATTGAGCCTTTTATATGTCAATGACCTCTGTTGTGTTTGGCTTACTATTTTGCGTTTGAAATAAATAGCAAAATCCCTCAATATATAAATGTAGACAGTCATTTAACGTTCTCATAGTTGAAATGACAAAATAGTGGTGATCTCAGAATTTATTTGGAAATTTATTTAATTTGTTTTATAATTTAATAATTACTTATTTAATTATTTAAATAATTACTATATTACTATTGATATAATTGTAATTAATTGCACACACACACACACACACACATATATATATATATATATATATATATATAACCTTGAAATTATATAATTATTGATATGAAATAATTATTGAATATTTAAATATAATTTAAATATCATATATTTTTTTATCAGCATATTGATAAATTGATTTGATTACATGATTTTAAAAAAATCCATTAACAGCCCTAATATTTTACATTATACAGGATTATTATACAGGAACTATTCGAGCCGTTCATGCCAGACTGGAGAAAGAGAGAGGTGTTGTAATAATGTAAAATATGTGAAAAATAATGTGTTTTTCGAACAACCTAGTATGAGAGCCTATTCTACTACACCCCCAAAACAAAATCAAGACTTTGTAAAAGAGCATAATAGGACCCCTTTAAGCTTTACTAGACGTTATGTGGCAAAGTAATTGTTACTTATTCAAACAATGAATGCTTCTCCTTCTCTCTTACCTGTAATACATAAATCTGGAAGCTGATGCCCAGGTCCACGACAGTCTCCTGGGTTTTGATAAAGTTGTTGAATTTGTTGTTGAGGTCGGTGCTGACGCTCATATCAGTGTACATTCTGTGCAGTTTGCTCGTGAATTCATAGCCACACGCGTGCTGCGAGGCAAAGGGCAGGGGAGGGAACCGAGAGCGAGAAAAACAATGAAAGGTCTGCTCGCTTTAATCACACGAAACCCTTCATCAGTCCCATCCGCAGTTTTACATAATGACAAAGCTGTGGCGCCCACAGCGAGCGAACACTTGATTATGGAGGACGAGTCACATCTGTGAACATTTTTACACACTTTTCAAGAAAGACGGCTGTGTGAGAGACTTGCTGTACCTTCAGTTTGTTGATCATGGCTTCCTCCGAGTCCATGGATAATGAAAGTCCATGTATTAACCTCTTTGCAAGCATTCTGGCGTAAAACTAAGAATAAACGATGGTTAAAAGAAGAGAACAACAAGAAATCAGTAAGTGTCACCCACAAAATACTGAAAACACCACACAAAATGTAAAAAGATCTCAAAGGAAAGAAGCTGAGTAACATTTGACGACAAACTTTGACGTTGGCTTGACAAAGCCTAGCCTGGAAGTATTAAATAGTTTTAAAAGCTTTAAGGTTTAACGGTTTTATTGTCAGCTAGACAGAAGGAAAACATACAAAATCCCATTCAGACCATATTACACCACTTCAGACCCCATCTGACCTCATTACCCCCAAAAACCAGTTCAGTCACCAATAAACCTTTTCATGATTTAACATTTTAACATGTTGCTAACATGTTTTAGCATGCTAATGTTCTGCTAATGCTAATGTTCTAGCATTTTGTTAACATATTTGTTTAACATGTTGTGAACATGCTGCTAGAATGTTTTAGCACGTTTTAATATGTTGTTAGAATGTTTATACCATGTTTTAACAGACATGTGCTAATGTTTTAACATTAGTAACATGTTTTTCTACATGTTTCTTATATCTTCCAAAATCTTCCAACATGCTGCTAACACGTTTTAGCACTGCTAGAATGTTTTAGTACAATGCTAACATGTTTTAACACATTGCTACAATGATTTACCATGTTTTAGCATTTTCATAATGTGCTTGTTTTAAAACTTTGCTAATGTTTAAACATGTTAGTAACACACTGCTAACATATTTTAGCATTTCGCTAACATTTTAACATGTTAGCATACTGCTAGAACGTTTTAGTACATTAATAGCACAAGGATGCTAACATGTTAACACATTGCTACAATGTTTTTATCATGTTTCTACCATGTTTTAGCATTAGTGTGTTAATACAATTTTAAACATTGCTAATATGTTTTAACATGTTAATAACACATTGTATGTTTATATAACCCTATGTTTTATAACATGTTTTAGCACTGCTTACAGGTTTTAGAATTTTGTAAACACGTTTTAACATGTTCATGTTGTTAGCATACTGCTAGTAAGTTTTAAAACATTGCTACCACAACAATGCTAACATGTTTTAGCATGTTATAACATATGCTAACATTTTAACACTTTGTAAAAAATGTTACATGTTGTTAACATACTGTAGCATATTCTACACATTATTATTCTGTTCTATTGTATACACATTTTTACTGCTAACATGTTGTAACACATTGCTAGCATGCTGTTAACTTGTTTCAACATGTTGCTAGCATATTTTAACACTGCTTGCATATTGTGAAAACATGATATAATGGGACAGGACATATCAAAATGTTGGGCCAATAGCTTTTAGCTTGCATCCCAAAAGCCCCTCTAAAGTCAGCCTGCAGACCAGACTGGAAAACCAGCTAAAACCAGCCCAACAGTTTAGACTGGTTTCAGCTGTTTGTTTGTTTATCAGAGTTATTTCCTGTTCTCCTTCTACTATACCTGTAGATAAATCAAGACATTGCCTCACCTTCTGAAACACATCTTTGTCGTCAATGTATTTGAAGACCGTGATGAAGCTGGTCAGTTTGTCCTCAACTTCATTCTCCGTCATTCCTTTTGCAGATTTCTTCAACAGATTGTCACAGTACTTGGCCAGCTGTGCCACAGCACAAGAAACACCGGCAAAGAGGAAAAGCAGTGTTAACGTTCTGACCGTGTGTTCATTAGCTTCATTCAGAGTTTATTCAGTCATCCTGATCTAACGTCGGCAGTAGCTGAGGATAAACAGTGATTACACACCAGCTCAGGCGCTTTGCAGATGGATTTGGGCTCTCTGTAGTTCACGACTGAAGTCAAGGCCTGGAAGGGAAATGAGCAATAAAATCACAAACTCCAGTGTTTCTAAACACTCGCATGAATCCGAGGTCGATGCATCATGAATCCCAGACACCCCCTACTGGACTACAGAGAGAAGGGTGATGCATTTGGTAAGGTGGGGATATGCGGGTGCTAAGTATGGATTAAACTGTTTTTATATTATTATATTATATTATATTATATATAAATAATCTCCATAGTCACATTTGTATTGTTTCAAAATATTGATGCTTTTACTATCATGTTATTTATTATATTATATTATATTACATATTAATGATTTCCATTTGCATTTGTTTCAAATGATGTTTTTACTATCATTATATATAATATAATATTATATTATATTACATATTAATGATTTCCATTTGCATTTGTTTCAAATGATATTTTTACTATCATTATATATCATATTATATCATATTATATTATATTACATATAAATAATCTCCATAGTCACATTTGTATTGTTTCAAAATGTTGATGCTTTTACTATCATGTTATTATATTAAATTATATTATATTATATTATATTATATTATTATATTATATATTAATGATTGCCATTTGCATTTGTTTCAAAGTAATGTTTTTACTATCATTATATTACATTACATTATATTATATTATATATAAATAATTTCCATAGTCACATTTGTATTGTTTCAAAATATTGATGCATTTACTATCATGTTATTTATTATATTACATTATATTACATATGAATGATTTCCTTTTGCATTTGTTTCAAATGATGTTTTTACTATCATTATATATTATATTATATCATATTATATTATATTACATATTAATGATTTCCATTTGCATTTGTTTCAAATTATATTTTTACTATCATTATATATCATATTATATCATATTATATTATATTACATATAAATAATCTCCATAGTCACATTTGTATTGTTTCAAAATGTTGATGCTTTTACTATCATGTTATTATATTAAATTATATTATATTATATTATATTATTATATTATATATTAATGATTGCCATTGATGCTTTTACTATCATGTTATTTATTATATTATATTATATTACATATTAATGATTTCCATTTGCATTTGTTTCAAATGATGTTTTTACTATCATTATATATTATATTATATTATACAAATTCCATAATGGCATTTGTATTATTTCAAAGTACTGATGTATTTCCTATCGTTCTGAAATATGGAAAAGAGTAATAATGTGTAAGTGTCTACATTTTTGCATGGTACTGTATATACACTTGTAAATCCTTTATAAACTGTGTTGAAATGTAAGAGTACCTTATCAAGCGCACTCATGAAGTGTTGGTCCCCATTCAACACTGTGTTAATCAACTGGACAAATTTACTATGAACCTCCAACACTGACTCTACAAACTGGGTTGGCATCTGCAGGACAAAGATCAGAGGAAAACATGCAATTAATGCTATGTACAAATAAGCTGTTGTTTTTTATAGCTATACATTGCTTTTAGACTCAAAGTATTTTTACACATAACCCTGGACACTTACGTTTTCCTGAGAGAGGTTACTGGTGGCTCTGAGACCCTCATCGTGGATGTGGACCTGGATTTCTTGGATCATGTGAGGTAAGCCGCTGGACACGGCTCGCAGTAGCGTGTACATATTCGCCATATCTGAAACCAAACAAACCATCAGGACGTCCTACAGTTATAACATGCCAACTGAGACACATGCATACAAACATAAATCCATAAGCCGAAAGTGAAAGCTCAGACTGGTTATAAGTGTAACTAAAGTGCTGACCGTCTCTCTTTTCCTGCATGATGATATTTTGACACTCTCCGTGCAGGAACTGCAGGTGATCGGCCACCATCCTCTGCTGACATTCATGGATGACTTTGGCGTAAGAGCTGGGGTGCAGATACTTCCGACATCTCACCTCCTCGTCTTTCAACCGGCCTAAAACCTGCCGAAACAGAGAGCGTCAGCCACTGGCCAGCGGAGTCCATTTAGCCTCATTAACTCTTTCCCTGCCATTGACGAGTTATCTCGTCTTTTAAAAGAAAACGCTTCCCCGCCAAAGACGAGTTTTTACGGCTTTCCGTGTTTTCACTGTTGTACACTCGGGGGCGCTATTACACATCTTCTGAACGAGGACAAAACCTCCCGAACAAAAAACACACGTGAACAGGACGGAGAAACGAGTGATATCTCATGTAAACAGATACATATGAAAAATAATGCGATCATCAGCAATAGACAGCATATAAATGAAAACAGCATAATGTTACGGAGTAAAATGTTGATCTAGGAAGTGGTATATGTCTGTGCAAGCTTTGGAGGTGTTGATGGAAGCGACTTACTGGAAACCTACCTATATTCAAGTGTTGATAAAAAAAGAATGCTTTAAGCTAGAATAAAACTGATTCGTTTTGTTTAAAAGTAGAGGCTCCGGTCTTTATTTTGGTGTATTGCATATTCAAATATTCATACAGCAAAATATACTGGAGGCCATCAAATTTTAGCGAAAATCATCAAAATCGCTGGCGGCGGCTGGCAACTTTATTCAAAAATGCTGGCGGGGAAAGAGTTAAGATCACAATAAAGCTAGATATCAACCAGCAATGTGTGAAATGGACTGAATGACCAAATAAAGTCAGAAACCATGTTAAAGTAACTGTTCTAAATGTAAAAGACAGAGATGGAGAGGCTAAGCTGTGGTTACAGCATCTCACCTTCTCCATATACTGGGAGCAGGTGGACTCCTGCAGCAGATTGGAGGCTTCCTGTTTGTAATACTCGCCGGTTTTTGTCAGGAACGGCCCCTCAAAGACTTCCTGATAAAACTGGGGTAAAGGGGAAATAAAGGGTGTGGCCTCCAAATGAGATGCATGATTGCTGATACACAAACTCTGAGCATGCAAAGTAGTACACAAATGTTTGTGGTCGGTAAGATGTTTTTATGTTTTTTAAAAAGTCTCTAGACTGCATTTATTTGATCAAAAATGCAGTGAATATTATCATAATTTGAAAGGTTCTCTATTTGAGTATATTTTAATATGTAATTTATTTCTATAAATTAGTCAAAGCTGTATTTTCAGCATCATTACTCCAGTCTTCAGTGTCACATGATCTTCAGAAATCATTCTAATATGCTGATTTGCTGCTCAAGAAACATTTCTGATAATCGTGCTACTTCATATTTTTTGTGGAAACCATGATACATTTTTTGTAACATTATAAACCCATTTACTGTCACTTTTGATTGATTTAATGCATCCATGCTGAATTAAAAGTGTTTTGCCTTTTAAAAAAAACATTTAAATAAAAATCTCGCTGACCCCAAACTTTTGAATAGTAGTGTACAAAAAGCCAAGACATTTCAATTTTTCTACAAATGATTGAAGTTTCATGTTTGCACAACGAAAAGTGACACATAAAAAAGCATCTAGAAAGAGGCACTCACCTTTAGAGGAAACTTTTTCTTGTACTGTTCAACATGAACAAAGGAGTTGATAACCCCGTGGATTACTTTCTGATTTGGGTCCTCCCCACATCGGTCACTAAGGAAACAACATCCAAACTGAAAACATCTGCAAATGTATCCTCAAACAATGTATACTGGAATATAATCAATAAAACTGAACTTGGGTTCAGGCCAGGCTATCATAGCAAGTATTTGTGGCACCAAAGACTCGTGCCGCAGGTAATTAATTCAGGGCTCGACAAGGACTGCCAGTGTGAGAGAGGCTCGTGACAACTGACGGATTTGTCGATCGGGCCACTGCTGTGTCGTCATGAAAGTTTATCATTTGCACTTGTTTTTAAGCCTTGCTAATTAAAAAATTCCAGCTACATTCAAGCAAGATGTGAAAGACAGCTCCATTCAGTACTCACACACACAGAGCTTGAACAGACAAATACATTCAAAAGTATGTAAAAAATAGCCGTCTTGGCGAGTAACTTTGTAGCTTAATCTCTATTTCATTTATACAGTGGAGTGCAGATGCACCGGTCAACCGGACATTTTTTTTTGTTTTATTTCAGCCGATCTCTGTTCTGGACTTGCACACAAACTGCACTGCAATCATTTTCCGAAATGTCATTTACATTTACGAAGTCTGTAAACGGCCGTTAACAGAGGCCAGAGATGCTGAAGACTGATGCAGAGAGGAGAAAATACTGTAGCAGGCGGAGCGAAATATTGGAAGAAATTCCTAAATATTGATTTGGGGGTTTATATGAATGCATGTGGAACTGTCTTCAGAAAAGTTTACATGGCGTTTTCTTTTCATCTCGTTTCTGTATAACGCATATTAAAGTAGTGTTATTAATAAGCGCAGCTCTGCTTTGTTTACAGCAGTAAACATATACCGAGGAAAGGCTGAATCGCTGCTGTCAGAGAGTGAATCTGCGTCTCATTCAGCCCATCTGCTGTTTTTCATAAAGCATCATTTCATTTGTGTCTTTGTTCTCTATATTCAATCGTGCTATTGCTTGTAATTTGTTCATTTGTTCTTATTTACTGATTGTTCACTTGTCTTTCATAATGTTTGAACTTTATATTTGTTAGGATAGTAGTTTTTGTGAAATTTAATTGGTATATAAAATTTGTGTCATATGTGAGCCTGGAGCGCAAAAGCAGTCTTAAGTCGCTGGGGTATATTTGTAGCAATAGCCAACAATACATTGTATGGGTCAAAATTATAGATTTTTCTTTTATGCCAAAAATCATTAGGATGTTAAGTAAAGATCATGTTCCATGAAGATATTTTGTAAATGTCCTACCGTAATTATATCAAAACTTCAGTTTTCAGATTTTCAAATAGTTGTATCTCAGCCAAATATTGTCCTATCCTAACAAACCATACATCAATGGAAAGCTTATTTATTCAGCTTTCAGATGATGTATAAATCTCAATTTCGAAAAAGTGACACTTAAGACTGGTTTTGTGCTCCAGGGTCACATATAAGCTTATTTATTAGACTAAAAAATAACATGGGTCAAAAACAATGATAACAGCAACTATTTAATTTTTTGTGGCAGCAGGGCCAGTTAAAATTTTGTCAGGACAAGTAAACATTTGAACCACTGGCGCGACCGGACCAGTAGAAAAAATAGCGTTGATCCCTGTAATTGATCCCTTGGCGTTGATCCCTGTAATTATTTTGTTTTAGTTTGTAAAACCAACCGAAAATAACTTTTTTCAGCAATACACAATAACAACAAGCAAATGGGCGGGATTGTTTAAAAGCATAAACGTGAAGCTTGTATTTTTCAACAGCACTTGTTTGAGCTACTGTGCAAATGAAATATTTTCCATAATTCATTACTAAACCTTTAAGCTTTAAAATAGATTAAACAATTAAAATACGCAATATTAGTTGATAAAAACAAAACAAAATAAAATATTTCAGGTTCACCTGGAATTTTAATTTATTTTCTATTGAAATTGTATCTTTTTTTATTTTATTTTTTATTTGTAAGAAATTAATATTTTATTCAGTAAGAAATTGAACAAAAGTGACAGTAAAAACATTTATCTTGTTACAAAAGCAAATCAGCATATTAGTATGATTTCTGAAGATCATGTGACACTGAAGACTGCAGTAATGATGCTGAAAATTCAGCTTTGATCACAGCAATGAATAGATATTTTCAATTGCAATAATATTTCACAATATAACGGTTTTTCTGTTTTTTTTCTTCATCAAATAAAACTAGTCTTTGTGAGCAGAACAGACTTCTTTCAAAAATATAAAAAATGTTACCGACCCCAAACTTTTGAACGGTAGTGTGTACTAATATACTGTAGGTTTTATGTTACTAAATTGAAATTGACTGACTTTCTTACGCTAAAGACCAAGGAAATGTTAAACCAAGGTTAAACACCAATCATCTAATTCTTTGACATCCAGGTCATTATTAAATAAGCATTCACCATCCAAGTATCACACCAGCACTAACACAAACACCATTTACCAACCAAAAACTCTAAAGTCAGTGCAATTTGCTTCAAAATTAAAAGTGAACTAGCCATACCAAACAGAATGGCAAGAATAATGAGTTTCCAAATACAGCAGGTTTTCCAAACACTCCTAATGTCAACCATCTGATTCTGTTGTGCAAAACGGGCAGCATAAGCATTTCATTGGTCAGTCTATGACCTGCATACGTATACAGCTGTTGTCTTTGCACATTAAAGGGACAGTTCACCCAAAAATGAAAGTTCTATCATCCTTTACTTACCTTCAAGTTGTTCCAAACCTTCTTTTCTCATTTGAATACAAAAAAAAGCCAAACAGTTTCAGTTCTCATTGATTTCCATACTATGCAAGTCACTGTTTGGTTACCCACATTCTTCAAAATATCTTCTTTTGTGTTCAACAAAGAAGGTTTGGAACAACCTGAAGGGAATTATTTGGGTAAACAATCCATTTACACTTGGCTCAGACTGAAAAATATTGTACACATCACCTTTAATGTCCTTCATAGAGTTGCCTCAGCTACAGTAGCTGAACTCACCTGTATAAGCAGTCCATGTACTCAGCGCCTTTGCTGTATTCCTCCCAGTATCTGTGATACATCCCCAAAACCTTCTCCTCCGACTCCAGGACTCTCTGTAAGACACACACGCCGCAATGATGCAAGACACCCACAATTAAACCGTAACGACACTGGCCTGAGCATCACTCGTTCTCACCTTGAACAACTGACGGACGTGATTTTCCAGAAACACCTTCGTCTCAGTGTACAGTCTTTCCCCTAAAGGCTCTGGATATGCAACACACAGCGCATAGATGTCACTAAAGCTCACGTTAAGGAGATTTTAATGCAGGATACATGAAGTTACACTACCATTTAAAAGTTTGCAGTCAATAAGACGCGATAAGAAGTCTCTTATGCTCACCAAGCATGTGTTTATTTGATCAGAAATACAGTAATATTGTGAAATATTATTGCAATTTAAAATAACTGTTTTATATTTGAATATCTGTTAAAATGTAATTTATTCCTGTGATGCGCAGCTGTATTTTCAGCATCATTACTCCAGTCTTCAGTGTCACATGATCTTCAGAAATCATTCTAATATGCTGATTTGATGCTCAAGATTTCTGATTATTACCAATGTTGAACACAGTTGTGCTGCACAATATTTTTGTGGAAACCGTCATGCATTTTATTTTTCAGGATTCTTTGAAAGTTCAAAAGAGCAGCATTTATTTGAAACGGAAACCTTCTGTAACATTATAAATGTCTTTACTGTCACTTTTGATCAATTTAATGCATCCTTGCTTTAATTTCTTTTGAAATTTTACTGACCCCTAACTTTTTAATGATAGTGTGTGTATATATATATATATATATATAAAGTAGATAAAAACAAAAATAAAATATGGCTTTGCACACTCATAAAATAGATTTTTTTTAAATCAGATTACAAGAAACAGGAAAAAAAAGATGAAGCTACAGTTTCATTGCACATCATGTAAATCAGGACAGCTGTGTCTCTACTAGAGTGCAGGATACGAGAAGCGGTCGTTCCATGTTGCTCTCTCCACGTAATCAAGCATCACAACCGCTCTGATTGTCGTCAGGAGCTTGTTCCACGTCTCATCGAAATCCACCACCCGTGGTTTTAAGGACATGGTGTGTGGCTTCGGCTTTATCTGGGGGAAAAGACACGAAAACACGGTGACAGTGAATTCATTATAGCATTCTCATTAGTGTTCTTATTGTTAACTAAATCTATTATCAAACAAGATATTGTATGCGCTCCAAAAAGATAACCAGTCCGTTCTCAGGTGCGTAAATCAAGAAAAATGTGATCAACCAAAAAACAAAAATGTCCACACACTGGAAGACCAAGACAATTGTCTATCATAAAAATTACTTTCATTTAAAATCTATAAGGTGACAAAAGTGCAAAAAAGTGTCTTAAAAACAGACCAAATAGCAGACGCTTCAGCTCATGCTCAACTAAAACTAAAACTATTAAAAAGTTTAAAAAAAATGTAAACAAAGCCAAAATAAATTGCAATAAGTTGACTAAAAGTAAAACTGAAATAAACTAAAATCTAAACTAAAGAGAAAAGCACATAACAAAAAAAATACCAAATCTTAAACTCAAAATAAAATGAAAATTAAAATTATATCAAAATACAAGCTAATTAAAAATATAAGAGTCAAAGACGAAAAGGGGTTTTCAAGCATCAAAACAATAAAAGTTTAATACAGTTTTAAATTTTGTTCCCCCCCCCAAACATTAGAATGGGTCCCGTTTAATTTTAGTTTTTAAGAGCAAACAATCATATAGCAAAAAATCTTTTCAGGCATATTTAGAGCAGGAATCATTAGATGACATTAAAGCTCTCTGTTGAAGGATCACACTGCAGTCTCATCGTCATTTTACATCTTTACCAATCTTTACTCATTAGTTAGAAAGAAGTTTTTAATAATTTAAAACAGAATAAAATTTAGTCTAGTTGATCGTTACTTTATACACTTTTTTCTTTTACATTAATATGCTGTTTCAGTTTTACATAAATATATCCGTAACGTGAATGACGATGGAGCATTACTTCACCTATACTTCGACATTTTATTTTCACCAAAAACATTCGAAACATTAAAGCAGACACGTTATTTGCATCTTTATCTGCGTAAATCACTTCTGTCAATTTAATTAGATGTGGTCACCAAAACGGGACGGCCTCGTCTTTGACCAATAAATAAATGCATTAATAGTATATAAATAACACTAACAAATTTAAATGAAATCCATGCGCTTCCAGGACTTCTGGAAGATGAACTGAACGGATAAGGATTTTTGTAAATGGATTTTATGTGTGTGAATGTGTGAAGTTCAAGTTAACAACGAGTACAAATTTGTAGTTTTTTTTCATATACATATATACACTACATATACAATATTTCAGCACTAGTGTCGCCCAATGGAAAAACCCACAGCACTTGTGTATATGTTGTGTGTGATTTCCTTTGACAGGCCTTTCTAGAAGAGTTAGAAGACACACACATCTGGCTTCTGCACCAAACAACCATAAACCCAGGACCAACCCTCACTAACTTTATTAGAGCAACTGTTTGTCCTAACAAAGACAGATCAGTAAAGATCAGCTTACTTCAGAGGTCCATAACCTCAGTGTCAACATCCAGCACAGCTGCCAAAGCACATCTAAGTATAAATGTCACCTGATGTACACAGAAATATCTCTAAGTAGCCAAAGCAGATGAGTTTCCATCTCCAACAAATCCACAGATACTTGATCTGAAAGAGAGTCACCCCCAAACCTGCAGAGGCCTACTTACACATCCCCATATGACACAACTGCATGAAAACAGAGGCAGCTGGGTAACGTTAATCCTAAACACGCGTGATTAAATAACAGCCGTGTATCGAGGTAAACAAGCACGGAACGGCCGTGTTTGCGTCTGTTTCTGACAGAAACACAGTGTTGTGGAGCAGAAACAGCGGCTAGCGCCAGTGCTAACGCGAGCGCCGCTGGTTCACACGCACACCTGAGATTGAGAGAAAGCCCCGCGGAGCTGCGAGTGTCGGCGGTCGGGCGGCTCGGCTGCGGCGGCTCTGGGTGCGCTGTCCGCGGCTCGGTGTGTCACCGCTGTGGGTCTGGACTGAAGCTGTCAGGACGCTCGGTTCCTCTCTCTCCCTCTACACCTCTGCCATTGCCTCTCACGGACTGCACCACTGCGTCAGCTGGAGGGGGGGCGCGAGCGCGGTTCAGGATGGATACAGCTATTAGAACCCTAAATCTACGCGAGACGTTTAATATAGGTTTATTTGGAACGTACATATATATTATGTATGAATGGGTCATGGTGTGCTTAAAATGAGTCATCACAATGCATGGCTGTTTTTAGCGGACTCCCCCTTTTGCTGGTGGTATGAGCGAGAAGTACGGCAGCTGCTTGCGGACATTAGTCGAGACGGCGTGAGAGATGATGGCGTTGTGGACTCGACATTAGAGAAAGAAATTCAGCAGTTGTGATTCCTCTGAACGATTCCAGGTCCTTAACGGTTGCATTAACGATCATTATAGTACTTTTTTTTTTTTAGAAATAATGTTCGAAAAATACTCACCTCGTGCATTTTGCATGAAAAGCATATTTGAGTAAAAGTGCAGGTACTTTACAGTGACACTGACTCAATTACAACTCACCAACCCCAAAACAACTTGAGTAGAGGTCTTAGAGCATCTGATTTTAACAGTGCTTCAGTATTTTACTTGTACTAAATACAGGCTCAAAGATGCACTAGTCAAAGAGACGTGGCAGTGAAAAACTATCTATCAAGTTGATTTTCTAAAACCAAAATGAAACACCTCAAAATTGCACACACACACAAAAAATCCCAAATCCTTCAAAAAGTATCTTCAGTGTAACGGAAAAAAATAAAATAATGTTAAGTAGAATTAAAAAGTCAAAGCCTTCTTGCACTGGATGTGCTGGTTTGGGCCTCATAAATAAAACACCTGTGATTCACAAGTGCTTGCTAAGGGACTCGCATGCACTTAAAGTAGCCTTGTTGACAAGTTTGTGCAAAGCGCACAAGATACCGTTGGCTACTTTCAGTGCCCTGTAGTTGGTGATATCACGTCTTTTGTAGCAGAAATGAACTGCTGCAGAAAAAGCTAGGTGCTATGCAAAATGCAATGAGTGACTGCGACACTCATTACACATGCAGTGGAGTAAAGAGTAAAGGTTGCTAATATCTTTGATGCTCAGTAAAACTACAGAGCATCCAAAAACACACTCAAGTACAGTAATTAATGACATTTATTCAAATACTTTACACCTCTGCCAGAATTAAATGTAAAAGGTCTTTATAATGGCTTTTCACAGTCAGTTTAAAGGTGGAGAATTAATATGTGGCCTTCTAACCTTAAAAAATTCTGTATTTGTGTGCACTGTTGTTTAAACTCAGTGTTTTGTAGAACATACAGATACGATTCCAGGTTTTTAAATAGTATTGAGATCTATTATATATCTATCTATATACGTTAAATAGAAACTTTAAAGAATTAAATAAACGGCCTTAAAGCAGCACTCTGTGACTTTTGGCGCTCTAGCGGTTAATAAACATAACTGGACACATCCCGCGGAAGAGCATTCCAACCGGAACTACTTCTCTAAGTTTATGTCTATGGCGAGGTATGTGTTACTCCGCAGCGGTGACCAGGCTACAATAGTCCGAATATAAGCACTTATTATAAGTGTACCGTAGTGATTCGGAATAAGACAAAAACGCGGTTTGGAAGATGAATTCAGGATGTACTCGCTCATTATATACATTTAGCAAATTTTGAACACAGAGAAAGTTACATAGTGCTGCTTTAAAAAGCTTGGTCATCCAAAAAAAATAAAAAATAAAATGTATACAAATTAAAATCACAGGTGCAAAAAGATGCTAAACCTTCTGAATACAGCCGACACATCCCTAAAGTAGAGTACGAGTCTGGGGAAGGGAAAGAGTTACAGAGATTTTAATTGTCCTACACAATCTAGGAAGGGTCCCCGAATTTTATAGAAATTATCAGAGGATCTCTTCATTGTGTGTCTGATTTTTTTCTAGTTTAATGAAATGGAAAATATCTTTAATCTATAAAGAATGAGTACAGGCGGTTTCCGGTTTAGTCAAATTAAACATCTTGCCAAAAGTGTGACAAAGGCTACGAAATCAGACTAATATTTGGGCATATCGAGAGACGGGGGAAGGGTACCAAATAAAGCTGGGAAAGCCAGAGGTTCAATATGTTGTTTAAGAACTTCAGATCAAGTTTTAAAGATCTGGGACCAATATTTCTGTAGAGATGGACAGGTAAAAAACACATGAGGGATTTAACGTGTTTGCCCCCCATTGTGTAGCTATATTCAGTTTGATACCATTATTTAATGGCTGACCAGCACGAACTGACACGTGTTCACTCTGAGGAGAGGCACTTGTGTAAAACAGCGCTGGTGACCCCCTGGGAAACAAGAGAAGTCGGGTGTAAGTAGTCCTACTAGGCCCCTGCTGCAGGCTGTGGTGGACAGATACAGCCTGAGCCATGAGGGTCCCCAGTGCATGGCCCCAGATTTTTATATTTGAGATAATCACTGTTAACACCTGCTATACGCATTAATACACCTTATGATAGGTGCATATGTGCATCAGTCGTCTGGCAATGGGCAAACATTTATTCAGTACAATAAGGATATATATCATCATCATTAAGAAAATATATTTTGGTTTTCATTCTAAACTTTATAGTAACTATAAATAATTTACACATCAACTGAAAAAGGTATAAGCGGAAGCCATACAATTATCTGTAAGCATGTTAAAGATCAGAGATTTCCTTGTAAACGAATTGTATGAAACTCAGAATGAAGAAATGTTTTTCTTTGCATGTTTACAAGTTATTGAACCATTTACACTGATGCCAAACTATGAGAACTCTGAGAAAAGCTTCCGCTTGTGGACAACATATGTCAGTCATTCATGTTGATATAAATAGCTGATCATTTAAAAAAAGTGCTGGTTTTCATGTGTACCGAGTTTTATGAAGTTTGGACATATTAGTCATTACAGGCCACATCCCAAAATATATATCAGCTCGTATCTGGCAGACAACTGAATGAATCTAAATTCTTCTGATAGCTTTTTGTCAAAGGTGTTTAAAGGCATGCACATCTATGGTATGTGCTGGACCAACACAAACTTGCAAGACTTTGAGGATCCGCTGCTAATGTCTTATAGTGTCAGATACCATGATGGGACACGCTGGTCTTGTGGAGTCCATGCTTCGACACTGCTTTCGAAAATGACATATTGTGCCTTTAAGTGCGTCAGAACTGTATTTATTGTTTGAATTTAGTATTAAAACTTACCGAATTTGCACCAGAACACAATCAATGTCAATGTAAATTATTGTAGAAGAAGCTATTTATTTTCTCAGAAGGTGAGTCCTGTGTCCTCAAAACATATGAATGCCGGTCTATTAGACACAACAACATATCAAATGGTCCTGCTAACAAAATCAGAGATTTTTTTTTTTTCAGAATAATAATAATAACTTCACCTTTCTGAGACAATTTTAAAAATGACCTCTTAGTGTAACCACAGGTGTAGTTCATCACATAAACATTACACTAACGTTTGAAAAACATTAAGTGTCACAATACTTTATCATTTCGAACTATGGTTTTATCATATAAGCCTCCCAAAAATGCTAAAATGTTTTGCTTGAAAATTAGCTGTAGGCCATAACCTTTCTTTATGTTTGATTTATTTGTTATAATATGTAATAACATTTAGGCCTAAACATTTTTTATGTTCGTGTCCAAGTACTTTTTAGACCTCCTTTATGTTTGTCGCAAGATCAAAAGGAAAATAAACGTATTGTAAAAAAATGATTTAACTGTTTTTGCGATTGACCTTTATTTTGAAAAGATTGACTTTTATTTTGAAAATATTGACTTTTATTTTGAAAAGATTGACCTTTATTTAGAAAAGATTGACCTTTATTTTGAAAAGATTGACTAACTTTTATTTTGAAAAGATTGACTTTTATTTTGAAAAGATTGACTTTTAGTTTGAAAAGATTTACCTTTATTTTGAAAAGATTGACTGACTTTTATTTTGAAAAGATTGACTGACTTTTATTTTGAAAAGATTGACTTTTATTTTGAAAAGTCAACGTCTCCAGTCATTTCCTGGTTGTCAGTCCGTGTGGACGTGCATGATAATTGTGTGATGAGACGCAGGAAAGGTGAGGCTTGTCACTACTTTACATCTGTGTCTCAGTCTTGTGGCGCAACTAATGTTTATTTCTCTGTTTCATCTGCCTGAGTAACAGCTAATGCACCTTTCACTGTGTGTTCACATGTAACTAAATTGAGATGCAACCAAAGGAGGTGTGTTCAGTCTCCAGCTGTGATTTTGTTATCATATAGATATTCAGACATATGTATATGTCATAGTATATATCATAATTAAAAATAGATAGAGATTGTTTAGAGCATTTCCATATCTTTGCACATGTACCATGGTATGCAAATACCACGTGATAATGGTAGTAATTTAATGTCATAGTGTTTTATACCATTGCTGTACAACCATAGTACTTTTTATAAAAATACAAAAATGTATTTTTCCAGTAAATCATGG